TCTTGTTGGATTGTCAAAATAATTATATAGGATGTTCAAATTAATTGCTAAAATGTCAAAAAGTTTTGCAGTATTATAATTATGTTCAAGCATCCTTAGGAGCTATCATAATTTTGAGCTCAACAAAATTAATAATTAATAAATTAATAATTAATTAATATTTTCAGATTTGTATCCAACCCAATTTTTAGGCTAACGAAATTCTTTTCGTGTATTTGTAACATTTATTAGATTAACAATTTTGGATTGACTATTAAATTTTCTTCTTCTGTGGAGATTATTGTTTATTTGAGAAATCTTGCTTTTTAGATGATCTCCAAATTAGAAACTAATATAATACAAGATATTTTATTATAAATCAACGTACAAAATATATTTATAGAACGTCGAATTGTATCTCGGTTTATGACATGTTGAAAAATAACAATCCTAAGAATAAATATATTTCAATCTAAAATAAATTCTTTCGCTTATCCTTTTCATAGGTCAATTTGTATAAAATGAAAATTATGAAAATTTAAGAGGATTTCATGATCATCTTATATGAGACTTAATAAAAACTAGTTATTAATTCATTTACTGAGAGAGATTCTGTGCCATCAAGATTCGAATATACATTAAGATCATGATTATGAATATACATTATGAATATGATGACTAAAATAGAAAATGTATGCGGACGTTGCACAAAGGAAAAACCCTTTATGAACCTCTTATAAATTTTTGCTGCAAAAGAAATTTTATTAAAGCAATTTGCGAGGCCTATAAATCACTATAATATAGAACATCAACCGAGCAACCTGATATTGACAATCGCTGGCAGGTTTATGGTCTTACGGTCGTCATTTGTTCGCGCAGTTCGTGCTATCTGCAGGTTACAGCCTCATCAATGAGATATTACGATTATCATTATCCAACCAGAGACCAGGTCGCTTACGACCGCGTCATGAAGTATTACGAGTTTAGAGTCGTATAATTCTTACTCTGTTTGCCCGTAGTTATTGGGATCAATTCGGGGAGTAATACGAACGCTTTGTTCGCCAATTACTCCACACCCATGGTACACGTGAATCTATTTGTGTCTATATACGAACAAGACGCGTGGGGGCATGCAAATGACA